CACACACACACACACACACACACACACACACACACACACACACACACACACACACACACACACACACACATACACACACACACATAACAACGATTGCCCCCAGTGTTGTTTGAAAAACAAACCTTTTTTTTACGAACTTGTCTACTGAGTCAAAATAATGTGGGCCTACTTGTAATAGCAAGGAGATAAAATTGTGTTCCCGTGCCACCAACATTATCTCTCATCAAAGAATGTATATTTTATTTTATTAAAATTATTAAAAAATAAATAAACACTCAATCTATGATCCTTTATTTTTATTTATTTTTTTAATATAATATAAACATGAAGAATAGTCATGTAGTCACATCCTCTTTCTGAGGGTCTTGGTCACACTGCCACAAGTGAAACTATGCTAGGTCTGGGCCTCGACCCCTTACACCATTTCATTTTTTAGCAAAACTCATTCGTATGAATTATTATGATGCATTTCTACCTGTCCTCAACCTGGTAATTGCTCGACGCCTCCTCCAAACCCCTCCCCCAAAATGCATATCATTCACACTATTGCTTTGGTCTCACGAACCAATAGAACCAATGCAAAAAAAAAACGTTTTAGGTGTATAATGCATCCTCTATTGATTACGAATAGTAAAAAAAGTTTACAAGATTTTTCATCTACAAGTTTCACGACAAATAGTAGCCCAGCGGTTATGAAATATTTGTTATTGTGGCCATCAAACCTTGTAGACTTTTTAAGTACCCCTTATATATAATTTTTGCATACATCACCTATAGCCCTCTATTGACAGATTGTCAATAGGAGGTTGCCCGTCCCAAAATGGTTGGCAACATGCACTATTTTATAACCGAAACGAGTATTGTTTTCTATATGCTACTTTTATGGAGTATTCTAACAAAAATAATTTGTTCAACGAGCCATTGCTTCCTAATCGATTTTTTTTTCCTTTTTAAGGAACATCATCATAAGGGTTTAACTATTACACGTGATAAAAACCATGACTACGATCCAGACGTTCGGACCACCATTCAGATGGTCTGGATTCAATCCAAACTCCAAATGTGCGGTCCGACAGGTCCGGATCTGCCAAATTAAAAAAAAAAAAAAAAAGTCCAGGACCCTTCCCCACTAAGGAGTCGAGCCCCCAAAACAGTTTTGGGGTTTTTCAGACTCGTTTTTGTTTTTTTTCGGTCAATCCGCACATGGTCTATCTCTATAATAATTTATTAGACATACCTATTTTTTCAATTATTGGTAATTCATTATTTTTTAAAAGTTTTTTACTTTTAACATAAGTTTGGTTATGAATTATGACTTGTTGGTTACGTCATGACTTGTTGGTTATGTCATGACTTGTTGGTTAGTAATTCAATTTGTCCCGGGCAGGTGTATAAACATTGTTGGTTACGTCATTAGATTGTTACGGCGGAGGTACAGGGATCGAGGCTAGCAGGCGACGACACGGGAGCAACAAGACATCTTGAAGGAAACCGGAGGGTAGAGGGTTAGGTGAGGCTATCCCCATCGGGTTTGTTGGTAGTCCCAACTATGGATCCGATCTGCGGAATTGGAGGAAGTCCTGGTCGAGCCTCACCGTCGGACTTGATGCAGTTTGTATACCCAGGAACTGTTAAAATACAGACTTGAGTTTGAACTTCACTAGTTGCAGGTGAGTAAGATACTACGAATTTGAATTACCTAGGACCGAACAGTCCCTTGAAGGAAGTATCGAGGCAGCTGCCCATGATGCAGTCCCTTGGGACATCCGTTAAAATTGGAATGATACACAAAAAATTAGCATGACCCCTCCACACGGATGACATGCATAAATCGTGATCGGGACTTGTCTTTTTATTTTTTGTGTGAACGCAACTAATTAGTGTACAGTGGGATTGCACGATGCTTGAAACTTAGGATGTCGACGTTGACGAAGACAACGAGGACAAAGAAGTGGGCGCATGGGTGGACGCGTACCTCACCATTTTCGAATGAAAACGAGCACGCAAATGTACATTTCTGGATTATCCAGCATTATGAGTCGAATGGAAATGCCAAAATCACGTTTATAGGACTGACGTAACTTGTAGAGACGCTGGAGGTTGTGCGAAGTGAAGGCGAGGGAGGAAAACGAGGTATGGTGCTCACCTTTGCGAAAATCTCCGATGTGGTGTTTCATCCCGGTCTCATTCATCGTGGTATTATGGAAGGTCGTTGTGATCGTTTTCGTGCTCATCATCCCCTCATTTATCACCTTGTTACGATTCTTTGCATCGTTGCGATTGTCTTCCTCGTCCGGACGACGATCATGGTTGTCACTATTGTCATAGTCAAATTCGTCTTATTGCTCCATCCGACCTGGTTTCATCGCTTTTTTTTTAACAAGATATGTTCTTAATGAACCTGACCGTTATGATGATCAGGTGCGTGCACAATATTGAAAGGGTAAGTAACAGTCACGTTGCCTGAGCAGGGGAATTGGAATCGAGGAACACGATGAGGAAAAAATGTTGGGAAAGGCAAAAACGAAGGGTAGATAGAGAAGGAGGAGGCGATTGGATCTGAATGGAAAATTGTGATGCATCTTTTTTTTTATAATTTAGGAGAAGATATACTTTCTTGTATATTTGGTGAGAGCGGAAACGAGGTACGCGGAGAGGTCGGAGAGAGGAAGAATTGACGGTGAGGAAATAATCGATAGTCGAGCTGCGGGCTAAACTGCGCAAATTTCGGTACATATCTTCCCATGTTCTGATGAAAGATCCACT